CTGCGTGATCCTCCATACAAGGTAGGTCCAGGGCTGTGATTGCTGGATCTTCTCTGGAGAGACCTGTAACCCTGCTTCTTGGACAGCATTAGTTAGAGCAGTAACAACAGTTTGCAACTCAGTTTCATTGGCCGTGGCAATTAAGATATCATCCATATAGTGGTAAATGATTGCTGAGGGATGAAGCCTTCTGACAGGGTGAATAGCCTGTGCCACTACAGTCTGACATATTGCCGGGCTGTTTTTCATCCCCTATGGTAAGATGAACCAATGATATCTCTGCATGGGCTGTGCGTTGTTTAGAGTGGGGATAGAGAAAGTAAACCATGGTGTATCATCAGGGTGCAGAAAAATGGTGAAGAAACAATCTTTCAAATCAATTATCACTAATGGTCATCCTACTGGAAGCATAGCAGTTGAAGGAAGCCCTGGTTGCAATGTTCTCATAGGTTCTATTGTTGAGTTGACTGCTCTTAAGTCATGCAGCATTCTCCACTTGCCACTTTGCTTGGGGATGCAAAGTGTTCCACAGGCTGGAGGTTGGCACTATATGTCCTGTATTCTCTTAAGTGAGCAAACCGTTCCTTTTTCAGGGGCCATTGATCAACCCATATAGGGTCATTGGTTTTCCAGCTCACCTTAATTGGTCTTTGGAATGGCTGGTCAATGGTCCTCACTGAAAATTCTGCCCTTCTGCAGAAGCAATTTGCATGACTGTGTCAAACTGTCCCAGCACATCTCGTCCCCATAGTGTGCACAGAATAGGAGTAACAAAAGGAGCTGTTTTGGCAACTTGTCCTTCTGGTCCCAGCACTGTGTGTAATCGAGCACTTTGCCTAGGCCTTTGTGTACCTCCAACCCCCTGAATAGTTGAAGCAGGGTAAACAGTAGGCCAATCAGCTGGCCATTCAGTGTCTCTAATGATTGTAACATCTTCTCCTGTGTCCACCAGGCCTCTGAATCTGCATCCATCTATTTGACATGCCATCTTTGACTGTGTTGTAGAAATGACTTTTGTCCAGTATATTTGTGGCTCACCTGTACTTCCAAAAGCTCCGAAGCCCCTCTCCCCCTCCCCAGTTGGTGACACGCTGTAAAAAGGAATTAGCTGGGCAAGCTTTTGTCCTTCTGGTATGTGACTGGGAGGTATTGGAGTCCAGGTCATTATTTTTATTTCACTGTGGGAGTGTGAGTCAATCACTCCAGGTAAAACAAACAAACCCATCCTGGTAGTTGACGACCTTCCTATAAAGAGGGCATGGACTCCTGAGCCGTATTTATTTTATGAATCGGGTGCACGGTTTTGCACCCTATCTCGTTTCCCTGTTGTGAAGAGTTTTTTGAATCCCTCTTCCCATGTTGACATTTGCATACTGCTGTGGGGGGTTTCTTGGGGCAATTCTTTCATAAATGATCAGCAGCACCACATCTGTAGCAGTCATTTTTGGCTCTTGCCCCATCCTGCAATCTCATTTGCACACTTAGGGTTGTGGTTAAAGAATTAGTTATTTGCTCAACAGTCCCAATTCCTTGGCATGCTCGAACCATGTCAGCATTGGTGCAGTTTTCCCTTTTAGGGATGGCTTGCAGAGCCTGTTTACAATCTGGGTTCGAGTTTTCATATGCCAGTTGCCTAAAAAGCATCTCTCTAGCTTCTTCATGCTCTATTTGCCTGTTTAATGCTGCTTGCAGCCGAACAAGAAACTGGAAAAAAGATTCTATTGATCCCTGCATGATCTTTTTAAATGACAGGTTACTGTCTCTGTCCATGTTCGGAAGTTTTCTTATCGCTCTCAAAGCGATACATCAAATATCTCTTGGGGGTAGTGTACTTGTGAGTTTGCTGATGAGTACTCCCCTTCTCCTGCCAAATGATTACATGTCATGCCTGTTTGTGAGTTCCTTGGGTCATTTATATACACTGCACAGCTCTCCCGATAGTCTGTTAACCAAACACCGTATTGAGTGGTTATTAAAACCATTTTCAACAGTGTTTTCCAGTCATGTGGGTAAATACATAGGTGGAACTCAGCGTTTCCAAATATGAAAACGTGTGAGTCGAGGAAACGCCAGACTCTTTAACTAATTGTCCCAATTCCTTTGTTACCTGATAGGGAAAACTTTGGAAATGAGGGTTCTGGCACTGCTGATAGATAACTGGGCATGCTTTAATAACCTGCCAATCTGTTGTCCCTATAGCCTCCTCACAGCACTTACTCCACCAGTCAACAAATCTCCCCATGCCTGCCCCCTCGTCCTTGCCCGGAAGAACCACCTCCGGTTCCTCCTCATCATCTTCTGATGCCTCGCCACCTGCGGTCCCAATATATTTGGTTCCCAACAGTTGTATGGCGGAAGATGACCACTGCAGCGGAAAGGTTCCTCCCCCCTCACCACTCCCATGGTTGGGACAATGTGGTTGCACGTCTAGAAGAGACGGTTCAGGTTCAGTTCAGGTCTGTTTCGTGTGCAAGATGGCAGCGCCTGTGCCGATGCACATGGTTGTGAATCATTAGTGGCATGAGGGGGTAAGTTTGCTGGGTTCCTCCCCACCATGCTGGGAGTCTATGTTTCGCCCCTGGGTGTGGGATTCGTGAACTAAGGTTCCTGTCCTTTCCCTGCTAATTGCGTGTGCACAAAAACTGAGACCTTCGCCATTACTTATATCACATCCCCCCTGATCCTGCCTGTGCAGTTCCCCTCCAGAGTTTGTATTTGCTCGGGATGCACGTGTGGGTCTTGCATCCTCATGAGTGTTTCTGAGTGGTGATGAATGGCTGCAAGTTGCAGCCTGGTTTGGGGTTGCAGGGGAATGTGTGTTGGTATTTCCTGGGGAGTTCTGTCGTCTCTGTGCAGTGCACAAAGCGTTCATAATCTGGGTCCAGGCAGGAAGGCAGTTATTGGCTTGTATGTCACCTGCTCTAGTTTTGTCTCTTATGAAGTCTCCAATCCTGTTCCAAGTGTTTATATTTAAGGCTTCTATGAGCGACAGGCGGGGTGCTTTGGATTTTAACCATTGCAGAAGGTCTGTTAGTTCTGCTCACATGATCTCTATGGAATATGGTCTTAACAAGAGATACAGAACCTCTGTGTCTTTTTCTATCTTTGTGGAGATAGAACTTCCCATGGGTTTTTTTGCCTTTTTCTTGCTGCTTTGCTCCTGCATGCTTTCTGTCACTGCTGGTTTTTTGCTCCCGACTTGTCAGCTTTGGTTTCTGTTTCTCAGCTTCTTTACTGCCTCCACTTCATAGTAACTTCACTTCTTGCTGTAGTTTCTTCTGCTTTTCTTTCTACTGGCACGTGCACTGTCAATTTTTTTGAGCTCGGTTTAATGTTGCGTCCTTCAGCTGCATTTTGCTCTGAAGTCCCGACCCTTTTAAAGACGTCTTTCATTTTTTCGCTAGAAGTGTTCCGAGAATTGATACAATCTCATTTGAGTGCTACCGAGTTTCCTTGTTTTAAGGTATTTTAAAATGTTCCCTGATACAGGGAGATTCCCTGCATTTAGGCGCCATTTGTGACTTATTAATGTAATATAATAAGATATGATCTGGCAGTTAGGGTTTCTAACCACCAAATCTTTTATTAAAAGAAAATGGCCCTCTTATATACCCTCAGGTAACATGTGACTCTCCTGACCAAACACACTCTGCCCACGTGTGTCAGAGTACAGCACAGGAAACTACCAGTCCCAGGATGCCTCACCCAGCATCCCTGGGACATGTTTCCTACAGATAAGCCTGGAGTTTGTGGCATCTGCAAGCAGCCAACAAACTTCCAGGCCTAATTCCTGCAAACAATAAGTGTTAGAGTCAGTTTCCTGCCCAATTAGTTCTGTAAACCATGAAACCACTATCTCCCATAAACACACGAAGGTAGTCGTTTTGATGTGGTTGGAAATAAAAGGGTAACAAAATATACAGAAATATAATTCCCAATATTTGCTTACTTAACATACAACAGTAATTTTATAACATATAAGACAATACTCACAAACAAAAGCAAACAATATGATCAACACACATAAGGGATCCCCACAGATGGTTTAAAACAAACCCAAAGATAATAAATTACCAGGCTTATAATGATCGCAATTCTGAGTCCAAGTCCAAAATCCAGCCACAACGGTAAACCCAAAAACATCTGTCCCTTTCTTCCAAATTCTCTTAGCCTGAGGAATTTGGTATAGCTTTGGTGAGACTCTAACTCACAATCAAAGCCTATGCAACCTTCCAGTGGGACTTGAACCCACAAATAGAAGGATGCAGTTCTTGTTAGTTGCTAGCAAGCCAGAGCCCTAGAAAGCCAGTATATGACTTATGGTTTCCTTCTCAGAACCCTAGGGAGAAATAAAAGAGTGCTTTAGAATTTGTATACCTTTTCACAGGACCTTCATCCACTCCCATGATGATCCAGTGGAGCCCAGGGGCATGCAGAGGGTCCCCAGTTCTGGAGGGTCTTCACAGACAAGTGGAGGTCTTGTCCCATCTGGGGTGCCAAATTGATTCAAAGAAATCCTTAAACAATATGTAAAGCACACTTTTATTACGGTTGGGGAGATGCAGGGGGTTTTACCCCTCCCTTGCATTCCACCAAGAAAAGAAACACAACAGTTTTTTATACATTTGAAGGAGTGAGTTTCAAAATTATCTATCACGTACACTCTTTACAAAGTCTGCCTTATCTAAATAGACATTTGGTTACCTAACTCCTATTCTTACTACTATATAGTAGTTACATAAAGTTTTATCACTTCAAAAAACTTAGGTTTCCCCCACCCCTCTTTTGTCTCCCTTGCAATGCTACATGCTAGAAGTCTTTCCTGCTTTCCCTGGCAGTCCCTTTTGTTTACGTAAGCTAGCTTTATCTTAACTGCCCACAATTTTGGCAGCAACCTTCTTTCAAGTAGTTACAATTTTGCAAAGTCACACTTAACATAGCTAAATTTTACTAACATAGCTAAATTTTTATTGTATTTTATCTTGTCTTTATTTCACCAGCACCTCAATATCCTTCCTGAACTGAGGGGCCCAGAACAGGACACAATACTCAAGGTATAGCCTCACCAGTGCTGAGTACAGAGGAAGAATCACACACTGCTCTGCTCTTCTGCTTGGATTTGCCTCAAATTCATCAAAAAGCCAGTGAATGGTGAGCCTCTGGGGGGAAGGGTCACTGTCCCAGTTTAAATGAGAGAAGGGTCTTTTGCTGAGGATGGATTAGGAGGAAAAGACCCAAACTTCTCTTTTCAAGCAATTATAAATCCAAAATTAAGAGGCTTCGATTGAAGGAAAACAAATTATGGAAAAGGGAAAATAACAGCCTTTTATTAAAGGTATGTGTGTATTAACAGGAACACGAAAAAAACCCAAGTAAAATAACTAAGTAATACTCCTATACCCACCAATAATCCCCTTCAAGAACAAACCCGATAAACCGGCAAAAGGAAAATAGTTCAATTTTTTTTACACCCTTTGGTGCAGTTCCAACCACAGTCAGCAGGGGGCGCCGTCGGGTCACTGGAGATGCAAAATTTGTAATGTCCTGTACCATTCACCAGGTGGCGCTGTTGGGTCACTGGAGGTGCAAAAACTTGTAGTGTCCTATTGTAGTCACCAGGTGGCACTGTTGGATCACTGGGGGAGTAGAACTTGTGATGTCCAGTGCCCATCACCAGGCGGCGCTGTGAGATCCTTGGCTGCCGCCAGGTGGGGGAAAGAAGGGGAAGGAAAACAACAGCAATAAGACAGAAAGTTCTCCCAATGGAAGAAAACTCACAAACTTCAGCTGATTAGGGTCCGTTGTAAGCAGGGTCTGCAGCCAGCCACAACTGAGCCAAGAACAGCAGCCAGAACTCCCCTCCGACAGGAAAAAGAGACAAAGGAACCCGGCAGTGTCTGCAGCCCGCAGCCGGCTCTCCTCCAGGGCAGAGAGAGAAAGAGACTCCCCTCTCCCCCCAGCCTCCACCCCCTTCCAGTCACACACCAGCCAACCCCCTCCCTTCGTTGTCAAGGAAACAAATCGGCCACTAGTGGGCTCGGGTTGATTCTTTTGTTCACCTAATGGGCAATATACAGAGCACACACACACACGGCAGGGGGAAGGGGAAGAAAAAATTCTTTGCTAAAATCAGAACTATGACAGCCACCCTTCCCCTTTTCTTTTTCCTGTGACAGCAGTAGCCGCCACCCTTGACAAGGAAGGGAATCCACAGCTGGAGCCAGCCTTTGCCAGTGTGAGTCCATGGGGGGAGCAGCCCCCTCCCTTCTCTCCCTTCCTATGCCTGGGACCTACTTGGCTGCCTCCTGCATGTTGGCCTCCGTGACGGGGGCAGTCACCAGGGTCCAACAGCACCCCCTGCCGACCATCGGTGAGCAACTGCAGCCCCCGCTCCTCTAAGTGTCCAACAGTTCCCCCTGGTGACTGTGAGTCAGAAAGTGCAACCCCTGCCTCCCGATGCACCAGGCCCCCGGCTGGTTGTGATTATAACTGCACCAAAAGGTAAAAAAGTACTTTATTGTTTTTGGTGAGAGTTTGGTTACTTTAGTTTTTGCTTGGTTTTTTTTTTTGTTACCTATATATATATTCTTTAGTAAAGACCTTTTTTTTTTTTCTTTTCCAAGAGAAGATCAGAGGAGAGGGTCCCAAGGAGGTGAGCAGCAATGTTTTGAGACAACTTCCTGCTCTGCCTTGAGACTTGTACTCAGTTGCCCCCCAACTCATTTCCTGGAAAAGGGCTGATCGTGCATGCGTGAATAAAACAGCATGAGAAATCTCATTTATATAAGAGGTGTTCACCAGGTTAACTAGAAAAGGACAGGGATCAGGCCTCCTTACTCTCTTTCTCCTCTTTTTCCCTTTTGTTTTCCTTGTCTTGCAACCCCAGCTCTGGACCAACGTGAAATCTAAGAACTTGAAATATTCTTTGTTTTCTTCCCTTGCTTTGCCTGGTATGTGGGTTTAAAAGTAAACTGGTGTGAGAAATGAACCCAGCTCTAGAAAGATTATAAGTCAGAGTTACAATTTATGAAAAATAAATTACAATAGATGCAAGGATACAGAGAAAAACTGGTTTTAACTCACAGAAACAGATGTACAACCCAGCACCCTGGACAAGAACAGAACAGTGTTTGTTGACCCCTGTGCTGAGGATCACGTGGCCCCCCTGGGTGAAAAGTAAAAAGAAAGGATAAACTGTTGGTCCAGATGATGGTTCAAGTTTTGTTGAAGTAATGATGGCAATCTTGTGGAGAGTGGTAGTTGCAGTCTTGTTGAAATTCTGGTCTTCCTCTGGATCCAATGAGTGGTAACAGAAGTCCCAAAAGCCGAAGTTTAAGTTCAGGTAGGAATGCCCAGTGCCTCTGCCAGGGTGGGTAGTTTCACAGTGGATGATGTGAGTCATGGGATATTTTTGGAGTCTTTGATGGTCTAGGTGGTTGCAGCTGCCTACTATGCCATTCCAGTATGGCCCATTATCAGAGATGACACCTCAGGCTGGGTTTGAAGGTGCTAATTCCTCCCCAGAGGGAAGTTATCACAGCTGAGTCATTGGTGCCAAGACAAAGAAACACTCCTTGCAGAGTTCTTTAACACCCAGTTTGTAGCCTGAGGTGCCTTGGGCAGCTGCTGCAAATCATAGAATCAGATGGGTTGGAAAGGACCTCTGAGATCATCAAGTCCAACCCCTGATCCAGTACCACCACAGTTACTAGACTATGGCACTAAGTGCCACATCCAGTCTCTTCTTAAATACCTCCAGGGACGGAGAATCCACCACCTCCCTGGGCAGCCCATTCCAATGTCTGATTACCCTCTCTGTAAAGAATTTCTTCCTAATATCCAACCTAAACCTCCCCTGGCAGAGCTTGAGACCATGACCTCTTGTCTTACTGATAGTTGCCTGGGAAAAGAGACCAACCCCCACCTGGCTACAACTTCTTTTCAGGTAGTTGTAGAGAGTGATGAGGTCTCCCCTGAGCCTTCTCTTCTCCAGGCTAAACAACCCCAGCTCCCTCAGCCTCTCCTCATAGGACTTGTGTTCCAGTCCCTTCACCAGCCTGGTTGCTCTTCTCTGGAACTGCTGCAGCACCTCAATATCCTTCCTGAACTGAGTGGCCCAGAATTGGATGCAGCACTCCAGGTGTGGCCTCACCAGTGCTGAGTACAGGGGAAGAATCACTTCCCTGCTCCTGCTGGCCACACTGTTCCTGATACAGAACAGGATGCCATTGGCCTTCTTGGCCACCTGGGCACACTGCTGGCTCATGTTTAGCTTCCTGTCAATCCAAACTTCCAGGTCCCTTTCCACCTGGCTGCTCTCCAGCCACTCTGTGCCCAGCCTGTAGCGCTGCAGGGGTTGTTGTGGCCCAAGTGCAGGACCCAGCACTTGGTCTTGTTGAACCTCATCCCCTTGGAATCAGCCCTACTCTGCAGTCTGTCCAGGTCCCTCTGCAGAGCCCTCCTGCCTTCCAGCTGATTGACAGTCAGTCCCAACTTGGTATCACCTGCAAATTTGCTAATGGTGGACTCAATCCCCTCATCTAAATCATTGATAGAGGTATTAAACAGAACTAGGCCCAACACCGATCCCTGGGGGACACCACTAGTGACTGACTGTCAACTGGATGCAACACTGTTCACCAGCACTCTCTGGGCCTGACCCTCCAACCAGGTCTTAACCCAGTACAGAGTGCCCCTGTCCAAGCCGTGGGTGCCAGCTTTTTAAGGAGTATGTTGTGGGGACGGTGTCAAAGGCTTTGCTGAAGTCCACGTAGACTACATCCACAGCCTTCTCCTCATCCACTAGGTGGGTCACCTAATCATAAAAGGAGATCAGGTTGGTCAGACAGGACCTGCCCTTCCTAAACCCATGCTGGCTGTCTCTGATCCCCTGTCCATCCTGTAGGTGTTGTGTAATTGCACCTAGGATGATCTGCTCCATAACCTTGCCAGGCACTGAAGTCAGGCTGACAGGCCTGAAAGTTTCCCGGGTCCTCCTTGAAGCCATTTTTGTGGATTGGCAAAAGTGGCAAGATCAAGTTCAAGTTTTGCCTTCATCTCTCTGATTTTCTTTCAACAAGACCTAACTATATTCCTAAACTCTTCCTGAGTAGCCAACCCTTTATTCCATAATCGGTAGGCTCTCTTTTTTACCCTAATTTCCTTTAAAATGTCCCTGTTTAGCCAGACTGGTCGTCTTCCCCACCAGCTTTCCTTTTGGCAGACTGAGACAACCTGCTCCTGTGTGTTCAAGACTTCCTTCTTGAAGCATGTCCATCCCTCCTGGACCCCTTTGTTTTCAAGGGTAGTTTCCCAGGGTACACTCTGAACTAGTCTTCTGAATAGGTTGAAATCTGCCCGCCGGAAGTCCCGCGTAGAGGTTTTATTGATGGCCCTCCTTGCATCCCTGCATATTGAAAACTATTATTTCATGGTCATTGTGCCCCAGAGGGCCTCCAACCACCACATCTCCCACCAGCCCCTCTCTGTTTGTGAACAGAAGGTCTAGCGTAGCCCCATCTCTGGTAGGTTCATTTACCAGTTGGAGCAGGAAATTATCCTCTATACACTCTAGGAATCTCCTAGACTGCCTCTTCTCCACTGTGTGGAGTTCTCAGCAGACATCCAGCAGGTTAAAGTCACCCACAAGAACAAGTACTGGAGATTTTGAGACATCTGCCCACTACTTGTAGAAAAATTCATCATCCTCATCATCCTGGTTGGGTGGTCTGTAACAGACTCCCACAAGGATATCAGCCTTGCTGGCCTTCCCCCTGATTTTGATCCATAGGCACTCAACCTTACCATTACTGACTGCAAGTTCTACAGAGTCAAGAGACTCTCCAACATACAGAGCCACCCCTCCACCTCTCCTACCTTGCCTGTCCCTTCTGAAGAGCTTGTAACCATCCATGGCAGCACTCCAGTCATGCAAGTCATCCCACCATGTTTCTGTGATGGCGACTACATCATAGCTTTCTTGCTGCACGATGGCTTCTTGCTCCTCCTGTTTGTTACCCATACTGTGTGCATTGGTGTACATGCACTTCAGTTGGGCTGCTGGTTTCACTCTTAACCTGGGCTTCCTACTCTTAGACTCATCTCTGGAGAGCC